TGTTGCTGGACTCCCACGTAGTCGATCGCGGTTCACGTCCTGGACCCGGTGGCTTAAAACTCACGCTGGGCATGTGTGCGTGCATGCCCAAGATCCTGAGAGGAGAAGGGATTGTGGTGTGACCATCCCCCCTGGGGGGTGATTTCTCGCTTTCTGTCTCTATGTCTCTTTCTGTCTGTCTGGCAAGCGCACATACCCTATAGCGAAAATCTCTCCAAAAAATTTTTTTTTTTGCTGGAGAGAGACAAGAAGAGGGAAAGTGAGAAATCACCCTCCCCCACCCCAGGAGGATGGCCACACCACAATCCGTTCTTTTCCATTCTCCTCCTGGAATTTTGGGTCCACACACAACAACACACACCGGGGATAATTTTCTTTCTTTTTTTTTTTTTGGTGAGGTTTTTGCTGTAGGGTGTGTGCACTCACCAGAAAGACAGAGACAGAAAGACAAAACATGAGAAATCACCCCCAAGGCGGGATGGCCACACTGCAGTCCCTTCTCTATTCTACTCTCGGGATATTGGGCATGCACGCACATGCGTCTGGCATGAGTTTAAGCCACTGGGGCTGGGACTTGTACCACGGTTGAGTACATGGGAGTCCAGCGACATAGCCATTACGCCAACTGCTGGGCCCTAATTTTTAAACTGCCAGGTCTAGGACTTGAACTGCAGTTTGCCATGTGGGAGTCCAGCTCCTCAACCACCACACCAAATGCTAGCCCATAGAGCATTCTTTCTGTTTGTAGTAGACAGTGACTATATAAGAGTACCAAAACACATAAATCTTCAGAAGTTTCTAGGATACTAGAAAAAAAATACAATAAAATCCATCATTTAAGTTGCTTCTGCAGATCAAAAAAATATACAATTCTGTATCCTGATAGTCTACCTTACATCAGTAAAGAGCACCATTAACTATTTTTGTGATTAAAATTAATGAGCTAGGTTGTTTTACAGTTTTGTTAAGAAATTAAATTCTGTTTAAAAATTTTCCAGCAGACATGTATGCTTGCCAGAGAAAGAGAAGGAGAAAAAGAGAGAAAGAGAAAACACCCACCATGGGGGATGGCCATGCCACAATCTCTTCTCCATTTCTCCCTCCTTTCAGGATTTTGGGAACTCACACACAGACACTGGCATGTTTTTCAACCCACCGGGTCCCGGGCTTAAATTGTACCATGTGGGATCCAGCTTCCTTAACCAACACAGCTTTGTTTTTGATGCTGTTTTGTCAAGTGTTTTGTGCTCCAATGATGTGCTTTCACACTTTAGATTAAACAGTAGAGTTAAAGTAAGCTTTTATTTTCATACCAGAAGAAGATGTATGCCTTATGGACACATTTTTTTTCTCTACAATATAGTTTGGGAAATACTGAAAAGCTTAATTATTACTTAACAGATTTATTTGTAACAACTATCTTTAAATTATAACAGGAAACCTGTTTAAGCAATCCTACAGTGAATATTTATAATGAGTAAACATTTTGTCTTAAACTTTCCTTTGCTTTATGACTTTTGTCTATTTGAGTTTTTATCTGTTAGATTTTCCTAAAGTATATATATTTCATTTTTTTTGTCTACTAATAAAATTACCAGATAACATATTTCAAGATAATTTCATCAGCAAATATCTACTGGATTAATAGCACTTAAAGTATAGCAGGCAAAGTAATTCAAATGTTTTGGAAATAAACTATTCAGACTTCTTTGCCTTATCAGATAGAAAAGGTGTAAAAGAAAGTAGAGCTACTATAATCCCTTTACTCTGCTTCCTCTGATGTTAACAACTTTTATTACCACATAACAATCATTTAAAACATAAATACATGCTACTAATCTGTAGGCTTTTTTTTGGGGGGGGGAGAGATTTTCACTGTAGGGCGCGTGCGCTCGCCAGACAGACAGAGAGAGACATAGAGACAGAAAGCGAGAAATCACCCCCCAGGGGGGATGGTCACTCTGCAATCCCTTCTCCTCCATTCTCCTCTCGGGATCTTGGGCACGCACGCACACGCGCCCGGCATGAGTTTTAAGCCACCGGGTCCAGGATGCGAACCGCAGTCGACCACGTGGGAGTCCAGCGACATAGCCATTACGCTAACTGCTGGTTCCCTAGGCTTTATTTTAATTCTGCCAGCTTCCCCATTAATATTCTTTTCTAGATTTAGTTGTCATTTCTACCATACTGTAGTCTCATCCAATCTTGAATGAAAGTCCTTGTCTTTCTTGATGTTGACACTTTTGAAGTATCAGTAATTTTGTAGAATATCCTTCAATTTGGATTTGCCTGATGCTTTCTCATGAATATACTGAAGTTAAGCATTTTTATGAAGAATTCACAGGTGTGATACTGTGTACTTTTTAGTGTATCACAGCAAAGTCTTTTTGGAGATGTCAACTTTTCTCACTTGGGTAAGGTGGCTCCCAGTGTAAACATACTATGTTTTCCTTAGCAAGTGTCTTTGTGGAGATACTTTGAGACTATGCCAACATCCTGATCTCATCCTGTTTTTGCTCCCTCTCTGTAGCATCCTTCAGTGGACTCTTCCTGCCCATTGATTATGGTGGTGTTTGCGTAATAATATTTCCATTGTTCCTTCTATATTGGCTAATCGGAATTCTACTGTAAGGAATAGCTATCTCTTTCCCCTTTATATCACCCCCGCCCCTGTTTTGTCCATCAAAGAATGAGCCCATATGGCAGGCAGAGTAATTCAAATGCTTCAGAAATAAACTATCCAAATTTCTTGGTCCAGAATCTCACAGGAAAAAATTAAAAATTGTTTACATATGGCCAGCAGGTGACATGGTGGTTAAAGCGCTGGACTCCCACATGGCCAACTGTGAGTCCTGGGTTGTTGCTTTGAAAATCACACAGAGTGCATGTGCATGTGTGTCTAACATCCTGAGAGGAGAATGGAGAAGGGATTACAGCATGGCCACCCCCAGGGGTGGTTGATTTATTACTTTCCTTCTCTCTGTCTCTCTCCAGTGAGCCCACACACCCTATGGCGAAAACCTTAAAAAAAGAAAGTTTGTTTTTATAAAACAACACGGTTGACACGTGAAAGTCCAAGAGATGTTACTCACTGTTTTGGTTTTTTTGTTTGCTTATTTTAGCCCAGACCAAAATATAGCAGATTTTTCCATAAGTTAATAATTAGGTTAATTACTTTTATTTTATTTTTTTTAAATGTGTATTCAGTATTGACATTAACAAACATTTAAGTAAAGACAAAATGTATGTTTACTTCCTAGGTGCGGGAGCTGTTCTCATCCCTCGGTTAGACATTGTCATTTCCTTTGTTGGAGCCGTGAGCAGCAGCACGTTGGCCCTGATCCTACCACCTTTGGTTGAAATTCTTACCTTTTCTAAGGAACAGTACAATATATGGATGATCCTGAAAAATATTTCTATAGCGTTTACTGGCGTTGTTGGTTTCTTATTAGGTACCTATGTAACTGTTGAAGAAATTATTTATCCTACTCCCAGAATTACAGCTGGCGTTCCACAAAACCCTTCTCTAGATTTGAATTCAACATGCTTACCCTCTGGTTTGGAATAGTGGAAGCAAAATGATGAATCTTCTACTGTTGTCTCCAGCCTGAAAATAACTAAACATAAGAACTTGCGAAACGTATAGCCATAATACGTTAGTACCAAACTCTGTTGTCCATTGGCACGATGTTCATGTTTTGGCAGTCATGCATTGTTCTTTATTTGTAGCAGTAAGCTACAACAGATCCTTGGTTTTAAGTATTAGCAATAATTTTCCAGAAAGTTAGTTTTGAAAGTCAAAAAAAAATTGTAAAAAACATCAAAGAATAAAACTACTTCTATCATTCTTTACTTAAATAAGAAATAAATACCTTATCCAAAAATCTCTCTTTTTTACCCCCATTATCCTTTTGCCACACAGGTGAGCAGAGAACAAGATTTCAACAATAAGATAGTAAGGACATAGGCAACAGGATTTTCCTCCAGACCATCCCAGTGAATGTCAAAGTAAATTTTATGGATAACGTAAGAAATATCTCAGTTATTTTTTTATTGGAGAGCCAGATACTTATGATTATCTGCTGGAAGTATAGAAAACTCCCACTAGCCATGATATAAGCATCAAAAAAGCCCCAAATCAGAATCATTTCATAGTACACTGAGTGCTAGTTGACCTTTATAATAATAAACCAGAGGCATCATGTGAGATTCCGACTCAGTGTTTCAACCAGATTTGAAAGGGACTTTCCAAAAGGGTGTTGTCCAGGACAGTTCCCTTACTTTTTACTGGAGGAGATGGAGGTCCCAGAACAGTTAAATAACTTGGTTGTCTAACTCAGCCTTGAGATCAAGAGAACCTGATCTTCTGACTCCCAAGGCAGGATTTTTTTTTCTCACATCACATTCAAGGAAAAGAGCAAATTATGTTCAGTTTAATTTTAGTCGAGTCTGTTTAATTACATTTTAACCCACTTTGAAAGTGGGTATGTGATCTTAGAATAGTATGTGTGACCTTAGCAGAATATCAGAGAACTCTAAAGAAGCCTACACCATGGCCAGCCAGATAAACTGCAACAAGGGAAAGAAGTAATGGTTTTTGTTGTTGTTTTTTCCAAACAAAACAGAGACTGCTTGCTGGGAACAGTGCTGGCTGGTAGAATGGGCCCCCACTCTACTGTTTGTGTCTTGAGCTCTCCCTGTTATTTCTGAGTTTTGTAGGCACTTCCTCCTTCAGGACAGAAAGTAAATATCTGACAAAATACAGGATTTATGGACTCTTTCTATAAATGTCGCTTTCCTTACAACAGCCTTTTATTGATCTGAATGGGCAGACTAAAAAAGCCATAAAGGGATTCATGCCTAAGAAAAAATCCAGATAATGATAAACTACAAAATACTGAGACATTCCAGGCTTCTTCCAGAGCAGTACCTTCAGTTATTCCATATTCTTCAAGCCCATTTGCTAACATAAACAAGGAATCTTAGCTGATGAGGAAGATGTAAAATGTTAAGTTAAAAAATAATATAATTGTTTTCTGAGTTTTTTTTAATGCATAATTTAAAACATGAACTTTTTCATCAGACTGGTAGTACTTCGATTTGTAATACTGTATTCAAGATACTATCAAGATCACTGTAGTGTATATATTATATATTTTTATATGTAAATGTTAACTTAGTTCAAGTATTTTTGCTTACATCATTAGTCATCAAGGATGATTTTTAAAATATATCAGAAGCTTTATTTTGGTACAGATTCATGATCAAAACTTTTTTAAACATTTCCATCAGATATCACCCATAATTGTAATACTTTTATATCAAATCTGTTGCATTGAGCCTCTAGCTATATGAAGAAAATGCAGAAGAAGTTATAGGAATAGTAATCTTCATTAAGACTAATGTTATATCATCTTGAATCTAAGAGTAAATTGGAATAAAAAATTTAGAATTTGGTATAAAATGAAGTAAAGCCATTATTTGATAGAAAATAGTATTGGGTTTTCATCAGCTGCCTTCAGATAATAATTATATTCTATGTGCAAAATTTTGTTTTTGAACTTTCATCTATTTATTTTCCTTATGAAATTCATCAAATTCAGTAAAATTTTTAATACTTACAGCAATAATTTTTAAATTTAGCACAAACTCATCTTGAGCATATCAGCAAAGAGGCCTCCTTATTTAATAAGAATGGTATATCAACATCCATTAGTAAATTCACTAAATTATCAATACTTCAAATATAAAAAAAAGTTAAAATGCAGAAAGGAAGAGGTAGTGAAAAAGGAGAGTGGTGGTAATTCTTAACAAGAAACTATTTAGGTGCAAAGTGTAAAATACACTTTTATTTAAAGATACTTGATGTATTTTATTTGCAAAATAATCAGTGATGTTTTTCTTCTCTGATGAACCTAGTTTAAATAACTCATAAACATTCCTAAAGATTTTTTGGAGATTACCTTGATTACAGAGCTATCATTTATATTTTGGGGGCCTGGAGAAATCAAGGTGATTTCACTTGTCAAATTTTTACCTGCTCGCTCCTGGTCCACTGCATTATATTATAGCTAACATGATTTCTGCATTTTTCTGCCACCAGAGTGAACTTTTCTCTGAAAGTTGATCAGTTCCCTGAGAGCTATGGGGGTGGTGGAGTGAGAGGGGAGAAAGGGAAGCTTTCTTGACCTGTGATGAGCTCTCTTCTAAATCAGTTATCATTGTCCCGTACACCCAAAACAATTTCATCTGTATCACCTTGTTTAACACTGATTCTTAGATCTTTTCCCCAAATCGCCAGATTTTTTCACAGTTAAACAAGAACTAAGACTTTTTTTTTTTCTTTTTCAGTTAAAGACCAGTTTAGATGGTGTTACCAAATGGAAACAAATACTGTATTAGTGAAAGGACACATTATGTTTTAATTCATCCTCACAGCATGCTCTTTTATTAAAACCATTTCTGGGGCCCAGCAGATGGTGTAGTGGTTATGTCACTGGACTGCCACGTGACCAACCACAGTTCAAGTCCCAGACCCAGTGACTTGAAAATCCCGCCAGGCAGGTGTGTGCACGCACCCAAGATCCCAGGAGAATGGAGGAAAAGGGACTGCAGTGTGGCCATCCCCCATGGGGAGTGATTTTTCACTTTCCCTTTCATTGTCTCTGTCTTTCTCTCTCCCAAGCAAGTGCATGCACCTTAAGGCAAAAACCTCTCAAAAAATAAAAAGAAAACCATTTCTGCTCCTTACCTAGGTGATTCACTTACATGTTTACAAGCATTTAATGACGAGCTCCATTCTGTAAATTTACTAATTGAGTCTAAATTCACTCTATTTTCTCAGTAGTTACATAAAACTAACGGCAAAGTTTTAATACTGTTAAGACATTAATTGAATCATTAGTTAAAGTTCAATACAAAAGTCTATTGGTAGGCTTTTCCCATAGGGCACGTATACTCTTTGGAGAGAGACAGAGAGATAAAGTGTGAGAAATCACTTCCCAGGTGGGATGACCACACTGCAATTCCTTTTCTTCTCTGGGGATCTTGTGCCTGGTGTGATTATCAAGCTGCTGGGTCCAAGACTCGAACCACCATTGGCCATGTGGGAGTCCAGCATCTTAACCACCATGCCACCTGCTGACTTCTGTATGCATGCCATTTCTACAATACCTGTGGCAGAACAGCACAGGTCTACACCAGCTTATCTGTGGTATTTCCTCACCACCATCATCAATATAGCATCTGAGTAGTGCATTTGTTTTCTGATGGGATGTACCTGAATTAGGCCTGTTTGCTCCTTTCTTCATTTAAAAGAGAGAAGATCCAGAATAGAGCTAATAGAAATAATAAATAGAATCACTTAAATACCTCTGCTCAATTAGTATTGCCTGTTGAGGAATAAAACTAATTTGATAAAAATACAGACCATTGTTAATGTAAAACAATCAGTTTTATGAAAAATCAGCTTCATTTCATCTTTTTGGCTTAACTGGATTCTCATAAGAAAATCTGAAAAAGTTTTATCTTGATAGTCTAACAAGATACTTCCTAACATTAAATGGTTGGCTGTAATAGTTGATACTTTGGTAGTATTATGGTTAATTTTATTTATGCCATCAGCACTTACTAAGCCAAACACCTTTCTGAAACTGGTCAGTTTTGACCTGGAAAATAAGAGAATATGCTCAAGAAATGACTAGAAATGCTATTTATTGTCTTATGATAAATTAAGTGACAGATTATTCAGAGTTTTAAAACCTTGTGTTAACAAAACTAGTTTCTACATGCACAACTGCGCCCACACACATCAGTTATCTATGCGAATAGGTACTAATGCCACCTTATCATTTAAATTGGATCTAGAAAGATGACATATTGAAAAGATCCCTCTACAAAATATTTCATTAGGGTTTTGTTGATAAACAGGAAAATACATGTTTATACTCTTGAGTAAATTAAGCTGTGGATTTATATGTTTTTAAAAATGTTTTTGTTAGTTTGAGTGGAAACTAAAAAATGCACTTTAGTCAATTCTTTTAACTTATTTTTCTTCATAACAGAATACTTAAGTAGTGTAACTCTTCTGAATTTTCAATAAATATTATTTTGCTTGCAATGCCTTATGTATTTTTTATATGGTTAAATGACAAACAAAATGTCATAAGCTGAAAATAGAAGTAGCATAATATTGTCATAATAAATAACATTTTGATCAGTCCTTATAGTTAATTCTGTGTCATGTTGGAAGATGATAATCTGTACATTTTAAGATTGAAATGCAGAAATTGATTAGGGATGTAAAGACACACAACTCTGTGACCTGAACTTCCGGCAGAGTGAATGCAGGCGAGCAGTTGGTGGGTGTGACATCTGTGATTTAATTTACTACGTCCTTCAGGTCAAGGCTTTGTATCACTCATTTTGCTTCCAGTATAAAATTGCAGTAATACTTTTGGAAAGCATTAGTGAACCCAGAATCGAAGCGCACAAGGACATTTTATACCTTTCCGTCAGTCGTTCTGCTCTTCTGAATGTGACCGTATAAGGACGTGGAGTTCTTCAGAAGACAGTCTGCCTAAAGGTGCACCTGCAGCATGTCTTAGTAGTGGGAATAAATGATGGTATGTTAGCCTACAATACAATGCAGACTGTGTTCATTGTACTAAAGTTACACTGAAGACTAATGATGTGAGAAATTAAAAAACCACAAAGTGAATTTTTAATTGAAGCTCTGTACAAATATGCTTTGGGCGTAAGACAAGGAGACATGCAGAAAATAGAACCATAGAGTTAGGATAAAGATAGATGTTTTACTCATTTTTTTAGTTTATTTGCTTTTGTAGTTACCAGAGGGCATCTGTGCTCACCAGAGAGAGAGCACCCTCCCCATGACCATGGGCATGGTCATGCTGCAGCCCCTTTTCCTCCATTTCTCCATCCTGTTGAGTTTTGGGGCACAGGCACACACAGCAGGCATGTTTTTCAAGCCACCAGAACTGGGATTTTAACTACAGCCATATGAGATCTGGCCCCTTTAATCACTAGGCTATGGGGCTTGCCCAAAGGCTTCCTATTTTAAAATGACAAGTCAAAGGACTGGGAGGGAAATGAAGGAAGTGGCTTCAGGAAGAGGAGCTTTATAAAGAATTTATAAAGCCTCAACAGTAGCACATGCTCCTAGAAGCAGCAAAAAACCAAAAATGTTTAAAAAGGCAAATATAGGTGGGGGTAGGACAGGCACATAGAGAATGCACATGCAATGGAAAGCCCTATGGAATATGTGGAGAGAAACATGGCTGCTTTGTAAAATTTTGTGGCTTTTTTTTTTTTTTAATAGATTTAGCGGAAGGGCCAGCCCATGCCCTAGTGGTTAAGGTAGCTGAATCCCACACGGCTAAACAGTGGTTCAAATTCGGATCTGGTGGTCTGAGGAATGTACCAGGCATGTGTGTTTGTGGCCAAATCCCCAAAGGAGAGAGAAATGGAGAAGGGATTGCAGTGTGACCATGCCCACTGGGGCATGGTCTCTCTCTCTCTGTCTTTCTCTGTCTTGGGTGAATGTGCACATCCTCTGGCCATAAAAATATTCAGGCCAGTTGTTAACAGATATCCACACGCTGAAAAATTTTACCTGTAGATTGATGCAGCTCACGTTTCAGGGGGTCCATGGGCTCCAAGGAAAGGTTTATTGGGAAGACTGGGTATCAATTTTGAAAGGACCGACTGGGTTCAAAGTTCTCCCGTAAGGGTAGATTTTTTGGTTGATTTGATGGTTTGACTTGGTGTGAGGGATTTGGGTCTCGTGGTCATCACAGTTTTCTGATGCCATGAACAAGGAACTACCTGGCAGCAGATGACAGAATGCTTCTCTAGCTAAAGCTAACGCGTTCATGGTGCCAAGCAGTTGTGCAGGGATTTTGTCGTTCTCCACACTGAATGCTGGCCTGTGCTAAAGGACAGGGACTGGCCTTTGCACACCTACCCTGCCCTGAGAAGAGAGGAGAGGTGTGTCGGGTGTGGATCAAGGTTGAGGGGGCTGCAGGAGAACAAGAATGCAGACCAGAAAAGAAGGCAGTGCAGGAGTGAGCACCCCAGCTCAGGTGGGAGTGCCGTCCTTCCCTCTGTAGCTGCAGCCTCTGAACTGTCCTCCGCAGCAAGGACAGGCACTCATCTGATCTCACTCTCCTTTCTTGAATCCTTTTCTTTCCCCAATCTCGGCTGTCACACTTGGTAATGGGGTACACTAGCAAGCCTCCCTCCTGCCTCACCTTGCAAGTTACACAAACAACACGAGACTGCCTATGGCTCCACAACGTACTGCACACGTTCTGGTCTTTATCTGCTGCTGAAATGATTTCCTTCTACTCCCTCCTCCACTTCTTTGCCCCCGAACCAATCAATCCTTAGTTACTATTAGGATTTCGTTTAGGTGTCTCTCTACCGGGAAGCGTTCCCAGACATCTTCACTTCTACCCGAGTGAGTTGCATATTATTTCATATTATTTCATTTCCCTTTGCTTTTTTTTTCTCTCTCCAATTTTTTAAAAAATGTGTTTCTTCTGTTTGCCTTCCCCTAGACAATAGAAGTTCCATGGAGACAATTTTGTTATTATATTCACTACTGAAAAGATGGTGCTTTACAAGAGAGTCAGGCACATAGCAATATGCTCAAAAAAAATTGTTGAATGAGTGAATGGGCAAAACGACAAGAAGCAGCGCGTGTTGGAGCTCTCATACTTAATAAAACCTTCAGGTGCAGGGCCACGTCTTGCGATACGCTCTGTGCCCCTGTGACTTCTTACTGAATGAGTGTGCCTCGTCGTCTTTTCCTCTTTGTATGCTGGCCCAGCAGGCTTCAGTCCTGTAAAGCAGAGGCACCCAAGTCTGCGTGTCTTATAGAAAACCCTATGAACCACGTAAACCTTAAAAACATACTCAGGGCCCGGCCCATGGCATGATGGTTAAGGAGGCTAGATCCCACATGACCTGTGGCACTGTCTGAGCTCAGACCTGAAGGCTTGAGAAACATGCCGGGTACATGTATGTGCGTGCTGAAAACCTAGGATGGAGGGAGAGATGGCAGAGAAGGGATTGTGGTGTGACCATGCCCCTTGAGGGTGCTTTCTCATTTTCTCTCCAGCAAGAGTATACACTCTGGCAAAACAAAACAAAACAAAAACTCAGAAGCTTCTGGTAATGTATGTGAAGTCTATCAGAAGGAACAGATTAAAAACCCTCCCTCCACAAGTCTTTTACGCTTTTATGTTTTATATGAGCAGATTCAATTTAAAAAATCAGAGCTATTCATTCTATTCATGTTTAAAAAATTAGATATAAACCAGAATGCAAGTGGTTCTTTTCTGTCACATCTAGATCTGAGAAACGTTCTGGAATTCCTCGTGCCCAAGAGCTCCCTGCTCATGAGGGTCATCCAGTGTAGTGTTTTGGAATCCTCTACTGCATTCTCTGGTGGTCTCAGAACTCACCTGTTGTCTTAATGCATCATGGTGTGTATCTTACATGGACCCCCTGTGTAAACTGAGAATGAGAATCTGTAAATTTTGGGGG